CTCTCTCTCTCTCTCTCTCTCTCTCTCTCTCTCTCTCTCTCTCTCTCGCTCTCTACCAGCGCCACGTTAGCCTGTTGCCAACGATGCTCTCGCCAGTATCCCAAGGTCACGTCAACAATGAAGCGCCACATAAGCAATATCGTCGTCTTCTTCTTCAGAGTGTACACATCATCATCTTCACATGTGGTACTCAATGTCTAGACATGCGATGTTAATCGCACGCATTTATAAACACATTTCGTCCCTGACACGTGCGGCACCTGCCACTTACTTGTGGATCACGTGGCGCCTGACAACAAATCTGACGAAGAAGGTATGTGCTGATACCAAATTGCAATGAACCGAGATTGGAAGATACTTGTTAGACGTCGAAATGCAAGACAACTCAAATTTGGACAATGTTTCCAATAATCATGAACGTGATCTCTGATACAATGTCTCGTTATAAGTAGACGAAGAGATTGGAGGGGAATAGACAGATGAGAGGGTGGAAAAGATAATGACCACCAATGACCACCACAAGAGTAGCCTAACATTTCCCACTACTTCTTTGGGCTTTCCTTCACCTCCACGCCATCAATCAGTATCCAGTCACGAGTTTGATAGGTTTTGATCACATCCAAGTGCCACGTGGCACTGTTCCCTCGTGAAGACGACAGAGACAATCAACAGCGCACATTATTGACGTCAACTATCCTGATCGGGATCAATCATCCACATATCCTGATCTCCCTCCTTGTAGCGACCAATCACCCAGTGTAGACAGCGTGGCCAATGCCACATCAGCGATGAAGACAGGTGGCATGCGCCACATCAGCAATGGAGACAGGTGGCATGCACCACATCAACAATGAGGACAGGTGGCATCCGCCACATCAACAATGAGGACAGGTGGCATGCGCCACATCAGCATAGGGTGGCGCTCAGCAAAGAAGGCGCCAACATGTTGCCTCAACCCTGTGTCATCGTCCACAAAGCCACTGCTTAGCCAGCGTCAAGCAAACGTTCAGTCAGCGTCAAGCCAGCGTCCAGCTAGCAACAAGCCAGCGTCAAGGCAACATAGCTAGGCTGAATGTTGACTCCCTGGAGACCAGGTCTTATGTAGTGTTTGACGAGGCAGACTTACCTCAGGTCTCCCACCCACTGTGGCTCAGATTGACTCACAGCCGAGGGCCTGGATTGTATACAATTGCAGACTTCCACTTGGTCTTGATGCTGTTTTGGTACCTATATACAAACAAGTGAGTGTGTTTGACCGGCGGCCTGGGCTGGGTTCATCTTCACTTTGATTGTAGGGCCTCATGTAGTTTACTGAAGTCAACCGTTGGGCGCCCAGGCCCTGGGGCTATTTCGAAGGGGCCTTTTGCCCCTTCGACCTCTCAGCCAAAAGCCAGGGTAGCGGCCTGTGGGCCCCTTAGCCATTCAACGAGGCATAATGAACGGGTTAATGCAATTTATTTTCTTTTATTTTTATCTCGGAATTTCACTGTTTATTTATTTTTCTTTGCCCCTCGCCTCCATGGTTGCTATTTTCTTTTCTTGATTAGGTCGCTGCTACCCCACCCTAACCACCCAAACTCCGGTTAGGGTTTTCTTAGGGTTTTTCTAGGGCTTAGGGTTCTCCTAACCCCCCTCCTCTCCCGCCTCCTCCCGTCAGGCACCCTAGACCCGAACGGCTCCTCTCCTTTCGACCGGAGTTGCGCCACCCTCTCACTCGCGACCCGCTGGTCATGGGGCGAGCCGACTCACGACTACCCATCCGCTCCCGGCGTACCCTCCCTCTCACTAGTGGTCCCCTGTCCCCACGCCACAATTGATCTCTTTCCCCACCTCTTTTCCACCTCCCGCCATGTCTACCCCCATACGTCCACCGCCCACGGATGGGACTACACCCGAGGAGATCGTCACGGCGCCCTCCATCTCTTAGGCGTCCACCCACCTTACGGTCCAGGGTCAGACCCCTGTGGACCCCATGGAACTTCGCGTTGTTCTTACGTCCCTCCTTGCACCTTGCAAGCGCGACTCGATGCGCTTGCACCCTTGGAGGGGCAAGTAAATGCGCTCGCCTTTGAAGTTCACCGCCTCAGGGGATCTCCTCACAGCTCTCACGCCCCATCCCCTATCGACTCACAGTTCGACTCCTCGCGACTCCAGACATAGAGATGTGGTGGTTCGTACCCCCGCGCGGGTCAGGGCCAACACTCCCCCTCCGCAATGGTGAGTGTCGCCGCCGCTTAGACCATACCATCAGTTGCGGGACACCCGTCGGCCCCTGCGGCCCTGCCGCTTCACCCACTATCATAGAGACTGCTGGCCAGATACCGGTCTTTGGCCAAACAATTTCATCTACTCATCCCGGTATGGCTTAACAACTTCCCGCTTCGGTCCCGACACTACGGACCAGAGTCCTCCCTCTTCCTATCATCTCCTCACTCCCACCTAAGCGTACCCTACAGTTCGTGACTCCTCCTGCTAGGGTACCCTCTCCACCTCCGACCTGATGTCTTTTGACCAACAAGTTCGTCCACCTTCTTCACCCCAATCGCATCCACCTTCTTCACCCATCCACCTTAGCCAGGCGCCCTCACATCTTCTTCCTCCTCCACCTCCCTCACCCATCCACCGTAGCTAACCACCCTCACACCCTCTCACTCCTTCGCCCCCACCCATCCACCATAGCCAACCTCCTTCACACCTACACCAAAGGCCGACCGACACCATGTTCAATGAAATATAGGCTCTCTCTCTCTCTCTCTCTCTCTCTCTCTCTCTCTCTCTCTCTCTCTCTCTCNGTTCAATGAAATATAGGCTCTCTCTCTCTCTCTCTCTCTCTCTCTCTCTCTCTCTCTCTCTCTCTCTCTCTCTCTCTCTCTCTCTCTCCCTCCCTTGGTCGCCGACTCCCTTTCATCTACCCCTCCCGTGCTCTAAAGACTATCCTTGACACTCTTGGCATACGGCTAATCCTTTCCCACTCACTTGTCACATTGCCAGGGGACGATTGTTGAAAGAACTTTGACCTCACTTGGTGGAAAGAGAGGGCAAGGGGAGGGTTGCCGGTATCTTGCACCACCAAGACGGAAAAGTGCTTGAGATTGGGAGAGACTTCTAAGCACAAAGGATTGAAGGATTCACAAGAGCTTGAGGATTGACAAGGGCCTAAAATTTTAAAAGACTCGTTGAGAGAAAGAAATGTCCGTGGACTACACCAACACTTAGACTACATGAGAATGAGAAGAGGATGGTTTGGACATGGGAAAGGAACTGACAAGTAAGCAAAGAAGAGAAAATGAGAATAAGCATGCGGGAGGGATTATGTGTTGACCCCGAATGGGGGATTGTGCTTGTCTATATTGCATTTGAGTGTGAAGGTGAGCAGCCCTTAAGATGCCTTCAGTCGGATAGCGCCTGGGTAGGCCAAACAGCGAAAAGGGGACAAAAGCTAAATGGGTTGTGAGTGTAAAGAGCGTAGGATGACACAAGTCCAAGACGTACATGCTCCAAACAAGTTGGTACACGATATCATTGATCGCCTTAACAGAAATATAAGCATGGGAATGAGGATGACTGGAAAATATAAGGCTGGTCACGCGGTTGAGCTTATGCCCTTTGATGTGTTTCGCACCTGCGGCTCCGCTAACCCGCTAGGCATCCTCGACATCTTGCTAAGTGCGTCTTAGAATAGAGAGGACAAACTTTTTGAATTTCTTGGGGAATGTTACAATCCTGGTAATTCCCAAAGTGCAAATTCACAATGAAAGACAATGCCACCCAATTGCGGAAGAAATTAAAGCACTTGCAAAGAGTTAGAGACCAAAGGAGAGAGAAAGAAGAAGAAGAAGAAGAAGAAGAAGAAGAAGAAGAAGAAGAAGAAGAAGAAGAAGAAGTTATACACCAGCAAGACCAATTACAATTCCACCTTCTCTCACCACCTTCCTCCTCCTCCTTCACTTCGCCAATCTTATTCTTCTCCCAATAATAATAATAACAATGAGTGGATGAACCAGAATCAATATCCGAAGTTCCCTCTTACTGCTGACTCAACAACAACAACAACAACAAGTCCACCATAGCTATGGCTTCCCCTCCTTTTGCCTCCTCTCACATGTATAGGCTATGGCGGACTACTGAGGGCCCTGCCCTCCTGTCAAAAGGACAACCAAAAGCAGCTATGGCGCTGCACTCCTGTCCAAAGGACAACCCAAAACAGCCATGCTGCTGCTGACTGGTCCGCCATGCCTGACTCTGCCTCGAGCTTCCTTGGTGCGGCACTACCCCAACTGGGGCCTTCCAGATGCAGCGCCCAACAAGGTGATGAAGACGGTGTCCACCATAGCCAGGTAGGTGCCTCGCCACGGTCCTCCTTCGCCCCCTTCTTCCTCCTCCTCAAGCTGGGCTGCTCGCCATAGCCAGGCGGAGCGCCAACTGCCCTTCACCTCCAAGCAGCGCTGTATCAGCCCAGCGCTGTGCTCCAGCAGCATGTCGCCGGAAGATATAGCGGCCTACTGGCCTCTTGGGCGGTGACTTCCTAGGCCGAGCGGCCTCCCAGCAACCGGTACCTCCTCCCTTTCGGAGGGAAACATCATTGCAAGCTCTGCTATCCTCCGGACAGGCCCTAGACCCGGGCTACTTGGACTGGTACCGGCCTACCTCTAGCCTACCGCTACTGGGCCTAAAAAAATGCCAACTTTTTGTCTTCTTCTGCTCGGCCTCCAGTACCCAACGCTTCTACCACTACTTCAGTGGTACCGGCCTACCTGCTACTTGAGTGTTTTTCCCTTCTGCTCTAAGTATCGCGGGCCTACCCCTCGCTACTCGAGTGTTTTCCCCCCTGCAACCCTCAAAGTCACGGCCACAGGTAATTACCGGCCCTGCGGGGCCTTTCAACCAACAAGTACCCTTGGGGGTCATATACACACTCAGCCGACAAACACTCAGACAGGCATGCAAACCAGCAGGCACGCACACACACACAGACATGGAAATCACAGCAGAATGTGGGAATTTCAGCAAGGCATTCATTCCAGCTGCAAATCCCAGAAATCAGCAGTGCTCTCAGTCTGTGTTTTTGGCGGGTCATTACAGGAACTTGTCGTACTTTTACAGTTCTAATGAGTCCTTCAACGACTCCTTGTCCATTGCGGGCTTACGGTTGCAAGTGCTCATGTAGTCCATTTTGTCAAAGAAGTGTTTCCTTTTATCATTCCACAACTTTTTCGTCAGCCATTGCGATCCAAACTCCGCCATAAGTTGTCCTTCAGTGCGAAACCGCTTGTTTTCCGAGCACCAAATTGCCTGGTCCTTCTTTCTCTCTAGAAACAAGATGTAATGGAACGAGCGAAGCATGATCCAATCCACCTTCGCCCTTGCAACCATGTCTTTAACGCCCGACTTGAGTTGTTTTTTCAGCGCATCACCAACCGTTTGCACGAACATTCCCTTAAGCGCGATAATGTCTTCAATGATTGAAAACTTTTCCTCGTTTGCCATGTCCGCAAGCGCTTGCCAACAAAACATGTTCGGCCCCTTGACGATCGCGAAAAATTTGTCATCCCACACTAGCCATCCCATTTTTGTCTCATTGGTTGCCCCTTTTGCGCCGTATTCTAGAATGGATTGAAGCCCAAGGGATTGGTCTTCATGGGAAATGATTTTGTGTATCTCATGGTCGTCGTCGATAGTACGAGGTATCATAGGATCTCGGAAGGGAAAAGTTTCATCATCGATGTGTGGAAACAGTTTGGATGCGTGAAAGACCAGATATGTGCGCAGATGAGGAGGCACGTCAATCACATATGAAGGACCAAATTCATCCCCAATCACCTTCAGCACCTGCCAAGGGCCATAGTACAATGGAAGAAGCTTTCGTGATACGCCCTCTTCATCACAAAACTCAGACATTTTGACCCAGATATAATCCCCTACTTTGAAGTTCGCTTCTTTGCGCGACTTGTTAGCATGTTTGATCATGGCATGCTGACGCTTGTTCATTGCTGCGATAGCAGCTTTGAGCAGGCGTGCGTACTTGGCATTGTAGCCAAGCATGTCGGGCGTCAGACCAGGGGACCGTTCGGGGAACAAATAGGAGAGAGGATTGCGCATCTTCCAACCATATTGCAGTTGATTCGGTGTTACGCCAGTTGCAGAGTGAATGGAGTTGTTGTACAACCCTTTCACTTTATGTAACTCCTTGTCCCACGTGTTCTGATCAGGAACAATTAGCGCGCGAAGCAGTTGAATGACAGTCTGGTTGATTTCCTCGGCCAATCCATTGGCTTCGGGGTGTCGACCAGAAGTCTTGTTGAGTTTAATGTCATAGATCTGTGAGGTGAAGTCCTTCCAATCAGCACTAATAAACCTGGTGTCTCGATCACTCACAAGAGTTTTCGGGACCCCATACTGCAGAATGTGCTGCTGGTGAAATTCTTCGATCACAAGTTCAGTTGGTGCATGGGGAGGTAGAGGAATCAAGTTCAAAAATTTGGAAAAGCGATCCACAATGACCATGACTTGTGAATGTCCTCCCTCACTCACCTTCCCCATGTTCGTGAAATCGATAGAGATTGACTCGCCGGGCTCATCAAGAATTGGGAGGGGTTTCAGCAGGCCATACGGCTTATGCCTATGGACCTTGATTCTTTGACGAACTTGACATTCAGCAATAAATTTATGAGCAGATCCTTTCATTCCCGACTAATCAAACTGCTGCAGAAGACTTATGGAAGTCTTCTCAAAGCCGAAATGTCCACTCCGACCATATGCCAAGTCCAAGAAATAAGTCCGGAGAGGCGCATGGTTGGGTACACACAAACGATCAAACTTCCCATAACGGCGGAATACAAGACCCTCACACTCGTGAAAATCAGGCTGACTACTAGGGTCAGCCTTGAGCTGCTCAAGGATGGGACTAAGATCCATATCCTTGGCAGTGTGTTCGACCAGATCCTCCTTCAGTTTCCTTCAGAGGTCATAAGAGTCCACAAGGCAAGTCAAAAACTCAGGATCACGCGACAGAGCATCAACAATACGATTATAACAGCCTTTCTTATGTTTCAGTTCAAAGTTGTAAACATCAATGTCATGCAGTCAGCAGGTCAGTGTCGGAGAGAGATCAGTTTGTGTCTTAATCCACTGCAAGGTCTGATGATCTGAGTAGACCTTGAAGTGACGACCCAAGAGGTAGTGCTTCCAATGTCTGAGCGTCTCGCACAAGGCGTAGAGCTCACGCATATATGTGGAGGTAGCTACCTTGTGGCTGGGCAGGAGCGGACGTAGGCCATAGTCATCATTTTGTTGCAGCACTGCACCAATCCCATACTGGCTCGCGTCAGTAGTCACTACAAACGTGAGGTTGGGATCCGCAATGCGGAGCACAGGACGACTTACCAAAGCCTCTTTCAAGGCTTAGAACACAATCTCACATTTCTCACACCACGCATAGGCAACATTCTTACTAGTTAGTCTCGAGAGTGGGTGAGCAATGACATAAAATTTGGGCACAAACTTTCGATAATACGAGGCCAAACCAAGGAAAGAACGCAGTTCGCGTATGTTCGCTGGTTGAGGCCATTTTCGGATGACCTCAACCTTGGTTGCCTCCGACTCAAGGCCATTTGCAAACAACCGGTGCCCAAGATAGATGACGCTGTCCCTTCCAAACTCAGATTTCTCTAAGTTGGGGTGCAGCTATGCCTCATTGAGGACCTGCAAAACCTCCTCAAGGTGCTTGACGTACTCTTCCATGGAATTGCTGAAAATCAGGATGTCATCGAGATAAACAACAACAAACCTGTTAAGCTGATGGCGGAGGACCTTGTCCATGAGGCACTTAAACGTGGCTGGTGCATTCGTAAGACCGAAGGGCATAACGATGAATTCGTACAGCCCATCACGTGTTTTGAATGCAGTTTTGTGTTGGTCACTCGGATCAACTTCAATCTGGTGGTAGTCAGACTTGAGGTCGACCTTGGAGAAGACCTTGCACCCACCTCCCGCGTCTAGCAGATCATCTATGCGAGGCAAAGGATAAACATTCTTTCTGGTGATCCGATTGAGGCCACGATAGTCAATACACATCCGGAGTTTGCCTCCTTTCTTCGACACAAACAAGACAGGTGCACTGAACTCAGACTCACTAGGCCTAATCCATCCACGATCGATCATGTCATCAATTTGTCTCCTCAAGTCCTCCAACTCGCCTTGTCCCATACGGTAGACGCAGCCCTTTGGAGGAACACTCCCTTCTATTATCTCGATTTTGTGTTTGACCGGACGCTCGGGAACTCCACGAGGTTCAACCAAGACTTCAGGAAATCGATCTAATAGACGACGAATGTTTGTTGGGACTTCCGGTGGAGGATCATCCTCATCAGGAGAGAGAAAATCAGATTGAGAATTAACACCAATTACAACTGAACTCGAAGTACTTGGATCAAAAGTAGACTGATAGATGGAATAGAAGTAGAGGTAGTAGAAATTAAATTACTTTCTGTGGTAGAAAATGCAGCAAAAGTAGAAGGCACATGGAGAGGCTTTACATGCTCAGCTTCCTTGCGCCTGCGCACTGATTTGCAGAATTTGTTTGCACTCAAAAGAGTCACAGGGGACTCGCGCGTCTCGTCCAATAGAACAGTACGCTCGTTTCCCTTGGCATCACGCACCACGAACTGATTATCCGCCCACGTGGTCCTTAGGCAATGAGCCATTAACCAACCCAAGCCAATGACCACGTCGAAAGGACACTTGTCCATGACATAAGAGTTCAGCTCATGTGTGACAGTGCGATCTTTGTCAAAAGTGACGCGCAAACCTTTGACAGCATGTCTTGAGGTGACAACCTCTTGGTTGCCTACCTGGGTCAGACAAGGGTTCTGCAACTCCACTTGCTTCATCCCCAGGTCCGCCTTACGAATCCCGTTAGGAGAAAATAAGTTAGTCGTTGAGCCACTATCAATCAGCACATGGATGTATCGGCGGTTAATGAGTAACTTAAAGAAGGTTAGCTCCACACTCCCTTGAACAAAGCGTTGCTGCTTGAGCTGCAGCCAATGTTCCAGGTGTGAGTGGAAGTCAACTTCCTTAGTCTCTTCCCAAGGCTAAGTGTAAAGTACTTGGACTGCACCAGCCTTGGATTCAGCATCAGTTTGGGCTTCAAGAGCAAGCTATTGATCGGATTCAGGCTCCTTGGAGGGGCCTGCAACTGATTGTTCAGCTTCCCTTGTTGTAGAGAGTGTTGATGACTCCTCTACGCCCTTTGCCTGTTTCCCTGCAGACGATAACAATCCTGCACAGCATGCCCGGACTTTTGACAATGCAAGCACACGCCCAGCTTGGATCTTCTTTCCCATTCCTTTTGACTGATGCGGAGGGCTTCCCAAGGCTTGGTAGAAGCATTCTCCGGTTTCTCAGGGATCTTTGCATTTTTGGGGAGGTGTGCTATAGTTCCCTTGCCCGAACTACGGTTAGGCCCCTTGTTTGAAGCCGTCCTTTTAAAAGCATTACATTTTCCTTCAATATTTATTTCAGACTCGAGGGCTGATGTAGAACAGCCCACGTCGCAGTCCGGCTCTAGATCATCATCCAGAGACACATCATCCGCATAGGACTGATCCTCATCCCCCCGATGTTCATGCAGGGCACGCTGGTTGCTGCTTCCGTACCGCTTGCGTTGTGAGGTTCTACCTGCAACGGGTGCCTTTACACGCCTGGCGAGTTCCTTGGCTTCTAGGTTGACTAGATCCGTCAGTAGCTCTCGCCAAGTGGTATGGTCTTTGAGTCCTAGCTGGCAGACATATTCTTTAGGGGTCACTCCCATGACTACATCCATGCAAGACACGTCAATCAATCCCAGGTTTGGAGTGGTGAATAGACCAGTCAAGTGTTGCTCCAAAGCCTGCATGGTAGTCCTACATGTTTGACCCTTGAGGGCCTCAAGCTTCAGTCTTGCCTTGAGCACAGCGTGCTTGTCTTGATACTGCGTGATGAGGAGGTCCTCAAGAGTTCGTACAGGAGTCACTTTCAACCATTCGGTCAGGTCAATCCTCTCATAACTTGCTGTAACAGCTTGGAGTTCTATGAAACTTCGTACGACAGGCTCAGTATTAGTGCCCATGATCATGCTTCGGTCTTCCTGCGATGTTCGCAGTACCTCGAAGTATGAGTGCATGAAGCTAATCCAAGAGGTAATATCCCCTTTCCCGTCGTATTTGGACGGCAGAGTAGCCGCCCGCTTATCCACTACGGGACCGTTGTACTGTACGCCAGTAAGAACTGTGGCGTTCTGGGCTGATGTTCCTGCATTTGGGACTATGACTAGTGCAGTACTGCCGGTGCTGCCGCTTGAGGAGTTGGCACCGGTTCCTGCACTTGTCACAGTTCCACTTGCTCTTGTCACGAGGATTGTGTTAGGGTGAGAGACTGGGACTGCAGCAGGTCGAGGGTTAGGAGGACGGGGGGCAGACAGTTGGGATGGTTTGAGGCTGACTATCTCAGCCTGCAGCTCTTGGTTCCGCTGCTCCAGGGCGGTCACACGGGACTCAAGGTCTTCCAAGGTCCGCAGTTGAACCAAGGCTGCTACGACAGCAGCTATCTTCTTTCGGAACCGGTCATCATTCGATTCCGGAACCGCAAGGAGGGCCACCTGTTCAGCAATGCTTGTGGCTCTGGCTGCTGCCTCTGCCTCCCTTTCTCTGTGTATAACGTCCTCATAAAGTTTATGAAAGAAAGGTCTCTCGTTATCGGCCACTGCGTCCAGCATGACCTTCCATTGCTTGGACGTGATGTTTGCCATGTCGAAGGATAAGGTGTCGGTAGATCTCTTAAGAGGGGTCCGCACTTTGCTCACTTTTGGACGAACACTCCTCTTACCCTTCCTCACACTCTGAAAAAGAACACCTTCTCTCTCCCTTCTTTCTCTTTCCGCTTTCTGCGCGCGCGTCTCAATATCGGACATAGATAGTTCAGATAAAAGAAACAAACAGTAAATCACACAGAGTA